AGAGAGAGAGAGAGAGAGAGAGAGAGAGAGAGAGATGTATGAGTGGTGTAATGGGATGAGAGCGCAGATGCCTTTTGAATGGCCAAAGAGATTGGACGCACTGATAGTGTTTAGCTATAAAACAGATCCCATTTAATAATTAGATTAAAGCGAATGCATTGTTCACCGAAACTGCTTCTCATATATAAAAGTTAATATACAATGTTAATATATAATGTATTTCAAACACTGTTTGAATAATGAGTTAAAATATGATATGATATGAACTTAAAATGTTTTAAACGTTTAATTCAATTACGAAATATTATAGTGATTGTACATTGAAGTGATTGTACATCTGATTGAGCGATACATTTAGGAGAGCAGGAGAGCAGGTGTAGGGAATGAAATCGATTTAATGTTCAATACATTGGATACAAATACATGAATACATGTATTCATAAATAAACATTTGGTTTAACCGCTGCTTCAATGAAAAGATGACTTTTTCTGAATAAAGACTTCACTATCTATTAAGTCGATTATGTAAACGAGAAGAGGATAAACCAAATAAACCAAAAATCACAGGAAGTCTTACGAGAAGATAATTATTACAAACATAAACAAAGAATAACTGAATCATAGGCTTTCTATTTATAGATTTCTTAGACTTTATAGACATTACATATTAATCGTCAAAAAATCTAATTTCTCTATTTTCCACGTTTTGTAAGTTTATTGGAAAAATTGATTTAAAAAATTAACAAAAAGATTTGTATTAATTTTAAAACTTTTGTAATACAATGAACGTTGGACTTTATTTTAGAATAAGGAAATAGACAATAGTTTTAAATGTATGAAAATATCTATACTAATGACACGAATTATGGTAATTAACAAATCAATCAATAAATACGTGTTACAGATATTGTATGCATTTATGTAAATTAATATGTGATAACAATTTTAACCAATTTTTTGAGTTCATTCAACTAATTTATAAAGGATATAAACTTTAATTTTTTTTAATAACTTATGTAATAAAATTTGTGTTATTTAATACTATATAACAACCATTAAAACTATATAAGATTCAGATTCTTGAAAGAATTGGGTCTAAAGTATAGCATTAGAGCCAATACTATGAATATAAATGGTAAGAAAGTAAAGGCAAATATGAGAGGAAAATTGATTTCATCCTTAATAAAACTCAATTTATAGGAACGCTTTCTACGAGTGATGGGAATATTGGTTAGCGCCAGACCATCACTGTATGCATTGTCTGAATACACTATATTCCCGCACATGTCTTCATTCACTACTTTAATGCAATATCCATTAGATTGCAAATTACAAGAATTGTGTTCAAAAATGTTGTCACAGCCGCCCATATCCACAATCAAATCACTTTTCAATAAACTGTTACTTTCTTGGGGTCTGATTACCTGAAAATACAAACCTATTCAATAGTTTCATACAACTAGTTTATTTACAATGTTTGTGATAAACTAATAGTGAGTATAGCATTGATTGAAAGAACATTTACAATACCATAAAGCCTTCGCTGATAGAAGCGGTGCCTCTATTATTGTCAATACGATATCTATCGCCTTTGATTTTAACCCAACACCCGTAGCCGTTTCGGTCGCTCATACCGTTGCCGTCAAACTGGTTTCGGGCCAATAAACCACAACACGAGCCCTCATTCAACACAATGGCTTCTGTGGAGAATCCGGGCCCCAATCTATTGTTGATTATAATGTTGCGATCGCTTTGGTCGGGCTGTCGACTAAACCAATGCCTGAAATCACGGCCGACAACAATGGCCTCGCCGTGTGAGGCAGACTTGAGTCCAGTCATTGCTATACTGGACTCGCGGATGATATTATCACAGCTGTCGTCGTAGACATGAATGCCCTCCTCATCCATATTTTCTATTCTCAAGTTTTCTAATATATTATTATTAGACTTTTCAAGAAGTATACCTTTTCTGGAATTTGAAATTCCAAAGCCCTTCAAATACCAATAGTTTGAACGTTTCAAATGCAATCCAATGCCCTCTTTGTTGGTGATAACGGTCTGACGATTACCCTGGAGTACAATCATTGCATTAGGAGTTCCACTCCTTTCCGTACGGAATAGGCCTCTAAATGTTGTATTCCTTAAATCAATTACATCTCCGGCTTTCACTTTGTTTATGGCATTCAAAAGTTGAGAAGAAGTAAACACAGGAAATGTGCGACAATTTATTATTGAAATCAAATTTAAAATTAAAATTATTTTTATTAAGTTACAATTAATTAAATAATTCTTTACTGAAAACATTATTATTTTACAATAGAAGAGTAAATGTATTCATCAAACTCTACATCATATATAGTTATGTTTTAGTTCAATAATATTTATAGAATTATGGTTTAAATTCAATGATCCCATTCATTAGTCATTTAAATTGTAATCACGTATTAAAACAGTGATCAATACAATCATAATTTGGAGTCAAGTAATTGAGACTTTTTTCTACAGGTATATACTGTACTATATAAACATGTATTTTATAGTAGGAATTAATAGAGCTATATTATTATTATTATTCAAAATGTGTACAATAAATTTAAAAGGTAATATTTTTAATTTCCATAACTTTCCATAACTGTAATACAGTATACATTTCTGAATCTACAAATATTAATATACAGTGAACTTTCTATACAGTGTATTTTCCATATAGTGTACAAAATATTTTAGTTTGGCGGACACTGTATGCCTGTAATGTTATTTCCGATCCATATAGTGACTCTCTATACAGTGTAAATTCTATATAGTGGCCAAAATTTTGCTAATTTTGACTATATTTTACTATTTTTACGCTCTTTATAGTGTTTTATGGTATGAGACAACAATTTTTTGTC